AGGTCTAAACTGGTAATGTACAATTAATTGATTCCACCATATATGCCTAACCAGACTGTTTATGTGCTTAACGTTGATATGTTCAGTTAGTTACAACTACTTGGGCTCCCTCTAGTGGGGAATGTTTGAGTTGCACCGCTACATGGAACAGGGAAAAAATAAAAAAAGGCAGTTGTTGCTTATGGTAGCCAAACTTATTTAATTCCTGGAAAATAAAACAAAGAATCAGGTTGGTCTCCATGGACAACTTCTCATTTTTTCACATTTTCTTTTCTCATGTTTATTTATAAATAGTCAAGTGGAAGCTCAACATTTAGAAACCAAGAAATAATGTTCAAAATGTTCAACTATCTACTGAAGTTTACCAAATCTTTCTCAGTTGACATTATATAAATGTGACACTGGGATAAGGCCTAGAATAGTAGTCTGACAACTTTGTAGGATGCCCTAGGGCTGAAGAACATAAATTTATTTGCGAGCTGGTGTGAGCACCTGCCAACTGGGCAGTATCAGCAGGCAAGTTTTAAAGGGAACTTGTAATGAGGAATTATGGAGCCTGGCCTTGCTTCTCTCCTATGACTGAAGGCATAAACAAACCACACACCTTTGGTCCAGGGTCTCCATCTTCTCCTCTGTCTCCAGCATTTCCTGCATAACCAGAAGGGCCCTGAAGAATAAATATAAAAGCATTTTAAACAACATTCATACATATATGAATATTCTAAGTACAAAATATTTTTAAAAAGGTCTATGACAATGGTATTTTCTATAGGCAACACCCCAGCACACAAATACTTTCAGTGTACCAATAACATATAACTTAATCAAAAGTAAAGTTTACTCTGCTCTGCCCCGACCCTCCAACAAAGTCCAATTGGGCTGACAATGTTCTTTGTAAGATCCAAGTGTAAATTTCAGAAGGACAACAAGAACACAACCAGCAGCTTCGTTATGTACCTGTTGCCCTTCTGAAATAAATATACACTTATAGGAGCCTGTTGCTTTGGAAATATAACATATGACATTTGCTTAAATCCTTGCCAGTACAAGTAATGATTATCACAATTATTCTGCATATAGCACATACCCCTTTTAAAAAATTGGCATGGCAATGGCTAAACAATTATCCTATTTTGTGTTACAGAATAACATATTTTAAGAAACAACAACTATCTGAGCTATCTGGGAGTCAGCTCGGCACCTACAAATGAGAAATAATGCTCGGTTTTCCCTGCCATACAGTTATCATGATACAATTGTTTTTTTTATAAACGGATCATATATTACGTCTCTTGCAACCACCTATGATTTTTTTCGAACTGCCACAAAAAAAAAATGTTGCTTCCTTGCAACCATGCCAGACTGAGGGTGTTCTGAACATTGTTTATGTGCAGAATGCTCAGGAATGGTCACGCATGGTCAGAAAGCTATAATATGCAATGTGACTTCAGTTATTAAAGTCTAATTGACCCCATCCTCTCCCATGTCTTACTGTTACTATATCCTTATGATGGACAGCCTCCTTTACCAATAGTCTTGCACAGAAGGGAGCAGGGGGAGGGACAATTACAACTGTGCAGCATGAACTATGCGCATATGAAACATCTAGGTACCTACTATACATGGCTGCCTGTAGCTTAGGGACGTTTACTTTAACTCCAAAAATCTTTCATAGTAGATCAATCACATAAACGTATTACTGCTTCTTACTTTAGATGAAAGCATTACATGACCACTTTTAAAAGGTAAGTTCCTGTTAATGCTTGCATGGCTACATTTAGACATCATGCTAATCTAGGCTTATTTAACTGATGTTTCATGATTTTAAAGGCTCACATGCTTCATTTTTTCCACCAGTTAAAAAAATGAATATAATACTGGAGTCAGTGCAAAGCTTTTAACAGGACAGCCTTTTCAAGAAGAGAAAAGCAAAGATGGTTGCATGCTGTTTGTCTAACCCTTGCACCCTATTACCCCTACAGTTCTTTTGCTGAAATGTTCAGGAAGGGCCTAACAAGAGGGAATACAAACAGAAACCAAACACAATTTGCACATATTGTGGCTTAGTGTAGCTTCTCTAGTCCTGTGGCTATAATAACTTGCTGACAAACACCATATGGAATACATGACTCTGAAACCTCACCTTATCGCCAGGATCTCCCTTACAGCCAGGAGCACCAATTCGACCAGGTTTACCCTAAAAGAAAATATTAAAATAGGACATCAGTGACATTTATTTATTTATTATATATTTGCAATATCCATTAAGATGGAACAGTACCCGCTAAATATATAACAAATTCTGAAAAAAAGCTGTATATAAACTATTGAAAGCAAAAGCAAACAGTTTTTTATTGCTCAAGAAAATGCCTCTGCTTGTATGTTCTATTCTCCTAGATATAGCGCCCTGCCCTCACTTATCACTGTGAGAGGCCAGCTAATTTTCTGATGCTAAAGAATATCTTCAGATACGTTTTAGCCTATCCATTGTTGCGCAGGCTAATTCTCGCACAATTCTATATTTGTCTACAAATTTCAGCAACTTTCGTCTTCTATGCTTATGTTAATTCTCTTACATTATACAGTATATACAGTCTTGGTATAGTGAATATAGAGATTTGAACTTGCCTTCTGTCCATCTGTACCATTTCTTCCAGCCAGCCCAGCAGATCCCTGTCATAAGGAGAAAACAGTTAATGTAGCACACACGTCAGCCTCTAATCAATTTAGTTATACACATCTACCAAACTCCTTACCTTTCTTCCATCTGCTCCAAAATCTCCCTGTAAAACACAAGGGGAATACAGTTACAGGTGATCAACCACTGGTGCCATATTACATAACTGATAAAAGGATTCATATTTACCTTTTCACCTTTCAAACCTGGAACACCCTAAAGGAAAAGGAACTGTGGTTATAATAAATCACTTATAATGAGAACAGTACAGGTAGACCTATTGCCCATGAATGTAGTTCTTTGAAGTTCAAACCTTAGGTCCAGGATATCCAATTGGTCCTTCAATTCCAGGGTCTCCCTAAAACAGAAGAGATCAAGACATGAGCATAACGTGTCAAGAATTAGTTCAGGTAGATTACATGTCTCACAGTCTATTTTAATATTACTATATATAATTAGTATAAGTCCTTGGTGTTTTACCTGCCGACCTTTCGGTCCAATGGTTCCAGGTTCACCAGCATTTCCTTTGGCACCCTAAAATGTAAGAGAAAAGATTAGGAGTAGAAGTAAGGAAAGTTATTCACAGATGTGATTTAAGTATGTTTATTGGTTTCGGTTCTTCTGCATATGCATCTGTAGAGCATGGAGTAAAAAAAACATCATGCTTTTTATGACATTGATGTTTAGATCCAGTCTTGAAAATCCTGGTTGACCTATTACATTTATCTGACTTAATCCGGTTTTCTTGTGAGGTGACATTGGTAACATGTTACATAGGTAACACGGAAGAAGAAAACAAGACTGGTGCTACTATGGGGATGAGTATGTCATCTCAATTGGCAGCATTCTAGAGAGACAGGTATCGACTGTCACATCCTTAGACCACATGCAGCCATACACAAGCGAATGATGATGATGCTCTTTAGTGCAAGTTTATTCCATTGTATAATTTGATCATGTAATCATTTTAGCAAAAACAATAGCTCGGCTGTGGTGTTGCAGGCAGCATGGTATATGTTTCTGACTACATTTTAGCTGTGTAGGCCAACAACAAGGAAATATGGTTTTAAGTTTCCTGAACTATAAAGAGTCCTCTGACTTTTATCAACATACCCTACATCCTATTCCCCCTAAAGTTCTTTTGCTTCATTTAGCCTTTAATGTTCAGAGTTAGACAGATGAGGAAAACAAAAAAGAAAGATTGTGTCACAATATGCACATTTTGAGGCTTGGTGCTGCCTCCTCTAACCTTGTTACCATACTGTAGGTGTTGGCCATTATAGTAAAATGAGCCCTGTACTTTACCTGTTGGCCCCTTTTTCATATTCCACTGCTATTATGGTAGAAGAGCGCATAAATAAAGGTCCCATCTTTTATTTTTGTACAATAACTAGGGTATAAAAGACTAAGAGTGCTTGTAGTGTTGGGGTACAAATGGCACGGAGCACAATCCCTGAAATATATTCTAGAAAAGAGCCAGTGGCATCACTATGGGGTGCAGCCCGCCCATTGGAAGGGGTGTCACCCCTTCTGAAAATTCAGGCACTCAGTCATGGACCGAGAGCTGGACAGTTGCATGAGAGAGGAGGGGATCCAACAGCATACCTTATCCTGCCGGGTGAACATGCCCTCCTCTCTCTGCTGGGGTCCATCACCAAAATGGCCACCGGCAGATAACAGCGCGTCACATCATCACATGCATGCATGATGACGTTACGGCAGGGAGTCACCCAGTGTTCGCTCTGGGTGACACCAAGCCTCGGGATGCCCCTGGAAAGAACTCTACGATCTTTACCATTACAGGTCATGAAAACAAATCTAGAAGACGCAGCAGCACCACTGTGCACATGAGAGAAGATAAAGGACACTTTACTAGGTGGCACAAAGGTGTGGGGTGGGGGTTGTAATACACTTTAGGATGTTGATTTTGATATGTAATGGGAATCTAATACCTAAAATGTATTTATATGTCACATAAATAACATGCAAAAAACTAAGTGGAGACATTTATAAAGGTTACCTTCTGTCCTCTCTGTCCATGTACACCAGGGGGTCCTTTAATCTCTAGGCAGCTCAGTTTATAACACTGAAAGACACACAACAGTATTATGTATAGTTTATAAGAGAAATACAATACAGCCAAAGAAAAAATACATCCCTTTCCCTCAGCCATGATATGGCTAAATGTACACATCCAGTCACGTTTCTTGATCGCCGGATGACCTAGGTTTCATCTTGGATGCAAATATAAATTCAATGTATGTGAGGACATGACAATTGCCTCTGCACCATCAATGTAGAATAATAATCTTTCTGCTGTAATTTTCTACTTGGAATGTTTTCTTGCAGTCATTGTCACCCCATATACAACCAGACTGACTCCTAATTAAGCATGTAGCAGTTTAACCCTTTAGCTGTTGACTTTACCAATATCTTTAACAGGGTTATTCACAAAAGGGGGAAGAGTTTGGAGAAGGTAGGAGAAGTGAACAATCCAGGACAATATAGCTGATCTGGAAAAATTCTTCAATTCAGCTCACTTTCCAGTTAAGCTATGTTGTCCTAGATTGTTCACTTCTCCAAACTCTTCACCCTTTTGTGAATAACCCTGTAAACTTTTACAGTCTGCTCTAGAATAACGCCTACGGGCCTTTATTTTTATACAGTTTATGATATGATTGCTTGTCATTTTTGGGCCTTGTAAATGTTTCTGTACCTAGTGAAGAAATTACTGTAGCTGTATTGGTCTGGGCCCTGTATTGGTCTGGGCCCTTGGTGGGTTGTGACCCAAAAGTGGGTCGCGACCCTGTGTTCAGTGGGTCGTGGGCATGCCTTCCACTTTTCCTGGCGAGAGGCTCCTCAACCTACTCCTAGAGCAGCACTATCAGTTCTCTCGCGGCCATTCAAAATATGCTGCCCGGCGCTGAGTGTCAGATTGAGGTGGGGTGGGCTGGGGGTATGGCCACGAGGGAGCTCCATCCATAAGTGCATTGCTTACAGCTCCCTCACGTGTCCTGTAGAAATGCCTGGACCAGAGTGATGTCACATTCTGGCTCCCGGAACCTCTACAGGGTGCGCGAGGGAGCTGTACAAGCAGTGCACGTATGGATGGAGCTTTGTCACAGCACAGCAGCCCACACTGGACCCCAGGCTGAGGATGCGCTCCAGTTCGGAAGGTAGAGAGACTGGGTGGATCTTAACTAGTACCGTGCGATTAACACACGGTACCATGCAATCTCACCTACTGTGCATTCTGGTGTGGGAGGTGTGTTGCGTTGCCATTCATTTGAAGGGTACCCCAAACGCACCTACCACCCACAGTTCGTACGCCCGCATCGTAACGTGCGGTACCCAATGCTATGCATTCCATTGCAGTGCGACTTGGGTCGCGACTTAACGACCAAGGACAAATGTGGGTCCTGAGATTACACAGGTTGAGAGCCACTGGTCTAGACCATATACTTGCCATTATGATGACAGGCTCACCTTCATTTTGTAACATATATATACACACACACACACACACACACACACACACACACACAGCTGTGTCTTGCCTGGATACACCTCATACACAATAAAACTCACTAGTTGAATGGTGTTATCATGAGTTTACATACCTCTCCATAAGCTTCGTGTTTCTGTAGAAAGATATAAAGATGCAGTTAGATTTTCTATATATTTACAAGGTCACACAGTATTATGAATATTATATACATAGTATGGTCAAATGTGATCGATGTAATCCCCATGTTAGAATACAGCTCACTATATTATAAAGAGTACCCTTGTCTAATAGCCAACCAAGATATGACAATTTTTTAACCAACAAAGGCTGTTTCTTAATTCTAGTAGCCAAAGGGCAAATTCTATGATCAGAAAACTAGCACTATGGACCCATTCACACCTGAAAAATGTATCTGCACCTTATTTTCAACACAGTGTACCATGATGCATGGTAGAGCCTTACCATGTGTTGCAGAGCAGTGCGCTACAATGCAAGTTAGAAGGCTTGCTTTTCAAAATGAATGACATGGAAACACACTAAACGTGCATAACGTGAATCTAGCCTATGTATTTACCCTAATGCTTTAATTTTTCTTAATTTTTTTTCCTACTATTGCGAAAGTATTAGTTTGTCTTAAGTACCCATCCTGGCATATAAAAGGCAGCGTTTAAAATTCCTCTACCCCCCAATCAGTTAGTCATTTCTAATGGTCCATTTTCTGAGGTCTGATATTTGATTTGGATGTTGCCAAATCTGTTACCAGAAACTGAGGTTTCTGTTAGTAAATGGAGAAGAATCAGAAGAGCTTATGTCCTCTCTACATGTTTGTATGGCGAAGGCAATAGGAAGAACTCCCCTGTTATAGCAGGTGGAATAAGACAATATAAAGTCAGAAGGAACAGATCCAGAATCAGCTAATCAGACTCTATAAGTGAAATACCACTTTTGGACAGATGGCCCCTTACAGTGTGTACATTTGGAGGACAGGAGACGAAGAACACTATGCTCTATGCAAATTTAAAACTGAATTCTGTGAATATTACAAAAAAAAACTCCCACAATTTAAAGCCTAACTCCAGCTATGTTTTATTTTGAATATAGTGGTAAAGGGTTGACATTTCTAACAGGTTGTCAATTCTGTCTATAACCCCACTGGGCAGATTTTCATCCAATTCTTGTTCCTCTGATGCACATGCATGAAATGGTGGGAGTGACAGCAAAATAATATCAGAAATTCTAACCTTTCATCACTCTACTAATTATTTTTTTTACCTATGTCCATTTTAGAGATATTTCCTATCACTACATCCCATGATGGGAAGTGAGAGGAAATGCTTTCTTAAAGTAGAACATAAGCCAATTTTATTTTTGTTTTGTATAAAATAAGGTAGGGTTATAACTCCTGTCAGCGTTGTTTTTGCCCTCTGTGTCCCATTGGGGAGATTTCCCTTTACTTCCTGTCCGGTATCCAAAACAGGAAGTGAGATGATATCCCTCCAAAGTGAGGGAAATCCCTGGTGGTCAGCAGGTTCACAAGAACTAGTGTCCCCTTTGGAAGATTTCACATCTCTTGCTATCATAGTGAGAACCCAAAATTTGGGATTTTCTTTAACTTGCACTTTCAGTCACCTGGTCACCAGGACAAAAAGAGAGGATGCCTTTCCACAATAGAGACAGATAGCAATAAAAAACTGACTGCGGTTTTAATTCCTCTCCACTACATCCAAAACTAACAACAAATTTTAGGCTTCAGTTGTACTTAAAATTCAGCTGGGATAAGTACCCATTTGTATCTTTATAGGCAAGTCCTGTAATCCCCTGCACAACAACTATATGTCAACTTTAAACAGAGAAAGGGGTGCCATACTCCTGACTGTGCTGTGTGATGGACATGTGTAAATTTCAGGACTGGTTGGGTAAAAATACAAATATTTTGGCAGGTAAAACCTCCATGCATTTCATGTCTCTATTTAGTCGTTTACTGGAGTTCAGCTTTAGCTAAAACATTTTTTTTACCATATGTTCACCTAGTTTCCACAGTATGCACAGTGATAGTTTGTAATGTTTTCAGACATACCAGTCCTATAAAATTTTCATTGTACAATGCAGTATTTTTTACATTTTTTTGCAGTTTAAGTGTGTTACGTTCTACTATGGGTTCCATGCTATTTAACTTACCATAACTTGAATGATTTTATCAATGGTTCTCTGATCGATCTCAGTTTGGTCATTAGGATTGGTCACTGTATATGCGTTCCTGAACAGCTCATAAGGTTGGCTTGCAATCTCCCTGAGACCAGACTCATACACAGATTGACTTGCAGCTACTGAGAACAGCTTGATCCCTTTAGACTGGGCTAATTCAACCTGTGCCTTCATTCCTCCACATGGGTTACCAGTCACATGACCATCTGTGATCACTACTGCAAAATTCACGACTTGTTGACCTTGGTCAGCCTGAGCCTTTATTGCTGCATCAAGTAGTGATGTCATATTAGCAATGGCGCAGTCGGTGAAGGTACCCCGTCCAATGTATTGGACTCCACGTAGTTTTGTAATGTATTCCTTCTGGTCGGCAGTAAGTTGGCTGTAGATTTGGACTTCATCTGAATAATGCAGGCCTGCATACTGCCAGTTCAGAAGGATCTGGTCCCGGTAGGCAGCATTTTCTAGCTTTGACAAGAAGGCTGGAATAAAACGCTTCATATGATCCAGCAAGCTCTGAATTGGAGCCGTCTGTAGAATTATACTCTCGGATGTGTCAATGATGAAGAAGACATTGACTGGACATTTGGTTTTATCTGTAACAACATTACAAAGAACACATTAGTGTTGGGTGAGGTTGTGAGAATTTACTTTTTGGCTGGCAAAATGTTTTGAGTTTTGCTAAGATACTGTATAGTTGTTGTTGTTTTTGTTCATGTAAAATTATTTTCAATAAAAATTGTATAACAGACACAGATTAATGCAGCTAACGTTGTTGTCTGGGGGAAATATGTTAATTACACAGTACCAGGGTACAAGAAAAAACTTGCGGGGAAGCTTGATGGATGAATAGACATTAGGGACTTAACTAATGCTTTGCTGTATTTGGAGTTTTTGTAGAATTACACACAATATATATTCAATAAAATTATGATTTAAGTATTATGCATTAGTAAGGAAACTGTAGACTTAGGGGGTTATTCACTTAGCTGCCGAAGGCAGCCGAGTGAATAACCCAACCGAAGTGAAGTGAGCCGAACGCTGTTGTAGACTGATTTCAGCTGTACATCGGCTAGAATCAGCCGTACATCGGCTGCCTTCCGTCAACCGAACATGCTCTCATGTTCAGCTGAGCCGAAGTGCAGAAGGAGTTCGACTCAGCCAAACCAACATCTGGATTGGCTGAGCCAAAGCTCCGGCAGCTCACTTGCTTCTATTCTCCCCATAGGGGCCGAATGGCAGTGAGAGAATGGCTAAATGCCACCGAGCAACATTCGGCTCTGCTACTCTGCTCTCTACCTCCGAGGTAGCGAACAGAATAGAAAACAACTTAAATAAATGAAAAAAAAGTTTAAAAAGTATTTTTTTTAAAATATAAAAAAGTTAAAAAAATTATAAAACATTTTAAAGAAAAAAAAACTGGAAAAAAAAACGACGCACACCGACCCGACCGCATGCGACGAACCTCTGCCGCATATTGTCGAATCTGACAATGACAGCAACAATTGGGCGGACATCAGGGCCCAGTTGTTATTGTTTAATGACAGATCAGCGTCCCTAGGTCATTTGGGGACGCTGATCTGTCATTGCAACTGGGAGGGAGCTATCACTTGCGTGAAGAACTGTCGGTCCCTTGGCCTACCTTTCTCCACTCTTCGGGTGTCACTACGACTCCTACTAGCCGAAGCATATGGGTTTGGCTCGGCTGAGCCGCTCAGCTGCTTTCGGCTGCTGGACGGGCTATTGTGAATAGCCCGTACAGCAGCCCTTCGGTTGGACTGTGGCCGAAGTGAGCCGAAGGATCAGTCGAAGTTACGGCTGGATCCTTCGGCTCTATAGTGAATAACCCTCATAATGTAAATGTATCAGTAGGTGCGTTTGTAAATTGCCAGGCAATCCTTCAAATAAGATAAAGACTTGTTTATTTTATTAAGCAAACAAGCTGTGTTTAGGAAAAGAATACCATTCCCTTATTGTGTAAGGCACTTGGTGAGTGCACTGGAGTCTAGAAGCAGCAAAAAGAATAAGATTAAATAATAAATAAAAAATACAATTACAATTCTGGCTGCTCCTTATTCTTTCCTAAAGCTTAAATGAACCTTCAGTTTTAATCAGCTAAATCCATTTCAGATGCATCAAAACAAAAGATGTTTAATGACTTAAGCTGGCCATACATACTGTATATGGCTGCGGGCTGAACAAGAGAACATTGCTTGATTCCCCCTTGCACACTAAACAGCATGGATGGAGGAATCTTTCCTGTAGAATACATGAACAGTGACTGTAGCTGATTGGCTACAATTACTGTTAGACAGACAATTTTCCGCCCGACTCCCTCAATTCTTCGATTGAAGTTTGTTGATCCTGGTGGTGTCTGCAGGGCCACCCATTTTGCCCAATTCATGTAAATTGGCTAAAATTCTAACAGTCTATGGCCAGCTTTACAGTTTATTTTCTTTCTAAAGCAGCCACAGCCTGAGCAGAAAGGCCGGTCACTTGCCAGCATGTTACAGAGAAGAACGCTTGCTCTGAGTTTCCAACACACATGCTGCAATCAGAAAAAAAGCTCCTTGGTAATTGGAGAGCTCTAGGTCTGACTCAGCAGGGAGTGTGTTGCAACTCTGCATAGAGGCTGCTGCTTCCATATAGAGAATAAGGGTCCCACCCTGCAGCATTCTGGCAGGGAACAGAGTTTTCTACTTCTAAAGTGGCTGCTTTTTAAAGTAAACCAACTGTAATTGTTTTACACTTTTTGTTTTGATACACTTGCAATATATATAGTTAATTTAAGTGAAAGATAAATCGGGCTTTAAATAGAACCAAACTGTATATTTCTGTTTCAAGCCTTAAACTGTTGGGTGTTTCTGCCCAGTTTCGTGTGTTTCCTACTTTTGCATTTTTCCATTATATAAAAATCATTAGGATCCAACGAAGGGAGTTCAGCCTCCAAGTAACAAAGGCTGATAATCAGGCTAGGTAACTTCAGAGATCTCAGCACTGGGCTCCCCAAGAAATATTAGAGACTGTTAAAAAGGCACTATCAGAAACCTAGTACTAGGTAGTCACATGTACCTGGACTTGCTCAGTAATGATGAAGGGCTAGCTCACACCAGCCTCAGTGCGTTCCGGCCCGATTGTGGCCGGAATACACTGGATCGCATTCCAGCGACAATATTTTTTCTGACTGCATCGGAGCGGAGGCACTGATGTGCCACGCGTTCCTGTGCGGCCGATCACATTGCAGCCGGAGGGTGTGGCTGCGGTGCCATTGAGTTCAATGCACTGACACGCCCCCTCACGTCCCAAAACAAAGTGAGCCGGCCGGAATGTGACCCAGTGCGTTCAGCCCACAATCGGGCCAGAGCGCACTGAGGCTGGTGTGAGCTAGCCCTTAGGCTCTGTTTGTTGTTAGTGTTACCATCTTAGTCCTGGGCTGCAGTCTTGCAATACCCACCAGTAATAACCACCAGTTTGTGTTCCATGCACAGGTTAGCTACATGGGGAACATTGGTGATCACATTAAGCAGCCATGTTTCTGTCTGTAGCATTATCCTTGCACTTGAAAATGGTGGTGTTTCTTAGACAAAGATTTAGCATACTTGCAATGGGTTCCACTTGGTTAGCAATGGTCTTATCCAGTTTTAGATATTTTACTGCAGTCTCATGGGCCTTGTAAGGTTATTACAATCATTACAACTGAGGAAGCCACTTGGGTGAGTAGTGAAACGTCTTCAACATTAAAGAGCAAGTCCAGTTTAACTTGACTAACTATTACTAGCTATACCATGACCTGTATAAATGAGAACCTTCACAGACACCCTATCAGAAAGCCTACAAATATGCATGAAAAAAACCTTTGGATACAGCAATATAGAGCATGATAGGATTTTTTTTTTCTGCAAAAAAACTGGACCATTTATCGTTAAGCAGCAGTCTTTAATGTTTGGTTAAGTGGCTCTGCCCTGGCACAGTCTCTTAAAAACTGCCTGATAAAATCACACTGGGAGAATTAGATCATCTGAATCTGTTAAAAGCATTTCCACTGCCTCCTCTACCCTAGTCATCACTCACCGGGGATGATATACCACTGTAACTTGGTGCCAATGCACAGAGTGTCAGGCAGTAGTAGAGGGGTGACCAGCATAACACAACATGTGTACACAGAGCCAAAAACAAAGACCAGTGAGCAGACATCAGGAACTGTGGGCCAGCATCTTAGTTTAAAAAGTAGACGCTAACCTTGAAACAAATATGGCACTGGAGAAAAAAGAAAGTTCAGGGCATTTCTAGAGGCATCAACCTAGGCACTATGCACGGTATTGTTAAAACAACCGTATTTGAGTCATCAATGGGTGATCAATTCGTACAGTTTATGCCACAGTATTCTAATGTGGGAAATATCTAAGCTAGACAGCGTTACCTAAGCTAAGAGTATAGCAAATGCACTATTAAGAGTATAGTTGTGTTAATGTGACCCGTCAATGGCTAAATGGCAAAAGTTACTGTCTAGGTGTGACTACAAATGTTGGTGGCTAGAGAGGGAGATACAGCTGTCTGAAAGACACCAGTACAGTGATAAAACACCATTGCTCTCCTTACTCAGCTCTCTACTTCTATCAGCATGGTCCATGCTAACACATATGCACTAGAGCAGAGCCTGATTGGCTACGAGTAATGGTCCTCCCTCTCCTGATGTCAGCATGTGTGTGTTCTCAAGGTTATAAGTCACTAACAGCCAAGGAAATGTAATATCATTATAAAGACATCTGCAATCTCACAAATATTTTCTATTCTCGGAAATAGATCAAATTACCTGCACAAGATTTTTGATCACCATTCTGTGCCAAGAGAGATCCACATGTGATGGCAAGCAGCAAACACAGCACATGGAGCTTGGCCATGACTGCTCTGTGGAGATAAACAGAGGACAATGTACCAGAATGATAATGATACATAACATTCAAATACCAGTACTGATATTGTAATCAGTCAATGTAAGATCGCAGTCACAAAGTCAGATAGAAGTGACATTTCAGGACCGATCAGCTGCTCCGGGGCAGATCGGTTCTCCTGCACATACGATCTGTGATGCCGATATGTCCTGGAACAGCTGAGAAAGCGTTGGAATTCTTCACCTTTTGCCGGTCAGATATTCCACCACCGAAAAAGTAGACGTGATTAAGTTAAAATGTGTGACCATGTGACCGGTCACACATTCTAACACAGTCACAAACTTTGATAGAACACCAGGACAGACAGAATGTGAAAGGAAATCCAACATTTTACAGTTTTTCCAAGAACAGGAGGTGAGGGGAAATCTTACAATGGGGACATCTGCACTGGGCAACTGTCTAACAACTTCCTCTTACTTCCTGTTGTTGCTCCAGGACAGGAAGTGAAGGGAAATCTCCCAACTGGGCACAGGCAGCACAACTAATGAACAAACAAACACCAGTAGTGGAATACAATGGGAGTAGTGAAGGTAGTATAAATCAATACAAGATTATAAGGGGACCAGCCTCTGCCATATCAGCAGTACTGATACAGTACTTGAGTTACATTTCCATGAACTGCACAGATTTTTTTTATCATTTATTAACATATGGAATATCTCATGTTTCAAAGTGGGATGGAAACAGTGCTCTCACTGCCTACATTGGCCAATGAGATTCTTTTTTTTTCACTGTGCCAAACTATATTGGAGACAAGAAAAAGAGAAAATGATTGGTTGCTATGCGCAATAAAAAAAGTTCCTTTTTCGGAAACATTCATAAAGAGGCCCTCAGTGGTGGTGTTCTGTGTATCCTATAAAGGGTATTGAGAATTATGACTATTTCATCAGGTATAAATAACATACTTAGAGATGTGGCCCATAGCTTAATAACTATTAAGGTATGGGAGGGACCATAGCGTGTTCAAAGCTCACAACACCATCTCATTCATATATGACAATATTTAACTGCCATAACAATTCAAACTTAACATATGATAAAAAGTGCATCTGAAGAGATTACCTTATTACTTTGTTGAAAGTCTAACGTCAAAACATTCAGCACATCCAGAGATATAGACAGCTGAAATCACATGTAAATTCTGACTTTCTCAGCAAAGTCAAGTTTACCCCTCCCTGCATCTTCTCAATTTCGGTTGCTCAGTGAGGCTGCACATCACACTAAAGGACCAATAAGGAGGTTGGGAGGAGGGAGGGTGCAGGGCCAAACTTGACTTTTGCATATACTTTCAGCTTCCTTGGTTTTTCCATCTATTGAGAGTTTTCACATATGATTTTGTAAAAGTAATCTCCATTTTTTTTGTTTACATCAAATGCTTAGCTTGAGCAAAAAGTAAGCATTACTAGACCCGTCCCGCTTCTGACTGATAAATGTATATCAGAAAATGACAGGATTTTCCAAATCCAGGCACACGTGATGTCACCCATTACCAACGTAAATGACATACAAAATTATATAGAAAACAAATCAAATGCCACTTTTGAAACCTGAAAAAGTATAATAAAGCTCAACGAACTGACCTAAAATAATACACATATGCATAAACAATCCCAAAGGCACTGTACCTATTGGCAGGGGTAGGCAACCTCAGCACTCCAGATGTGGAGAAACTACAAATGCCATCATGTCTCTGCAAGTCATTCCTGTGGCTTGCAATTGGGCTCATAGGACTTGTAGTTCCACAACAGCTGGAGTGCCAAGGTTGCCTACCCCAGATATAGGGTCTGAATCATGCCAGTGTGAACAATGCAAAAGAAAATCTCCCTGCAACTTGATGACCTTTTGACAATAGACAGGTTTTTCAGAACAGGTATTTACAAACATTTACTGTTTTACTGAAAAAATATATTTAAAAATAACCATAAAACTGTTTGTAAAATATTATTCCAATAAGAAAAAATACCAAATGTATCATTTATTTATACAAATTCAAGCCAGCTGCTCTGCCCATATTAGGAATCACCAAGTTGCATGACGTTGTGGAGATTGTAGAACTACAAGTACCAGCAGTCTCTGTCCACCTAGTAAACAGGAGGGTATGTCACATATTTCAATCTTAGCAGACATACATAGGTTAAATTTGGTCTAGGCAGATACAGATTAAAAGTTTAGACAGATGACTAGTTCCATGCAGTATACTATATTAGAGAAACAATATAACCATATGTAAGATTAGAAGAAAGTAAAGTAACCAATGCATGGAAAATAGAAGAGTATTCACATCATTATTACTGATGCTTTGTACTAGCTATGTACACCAAGCAAGCTAAATACACTGAATAGAAGGGAGATTGTCATTCTCTACTGATGTCCAGCACTGCAATAAGCGTTTTGTCAGTGAATAAAAAGGGAACTTAAAATGATTCTGATGCAAAGAAACTTACCCAACAAATAGTAAAGCCACAAGATGTGTTCTATATGCTCAGTTCTTGGCCAGCCCGTTGCATCCTCTGTAGGGAGAGAGAAGCTGCTTCCTAGGATGGGACCTGCTTCCACCGACAGAAACTTTTGCTCCCTACACCCAAACCCAACTTTTTTTCCCAAGTTTGGCTCGTCCCCTTCCAGGCATTAAATGTAATAGGTGGGCTCTGTGACCACAGGGTGTCACTGTGGATCCACTATAAGGAGGCCTGCAAGAGGGTCTCATTTTATGAAGAGGGAAAGTCTGTGATCCTAATTCTCTGTTTCTGCAGATTACTTTTTGATTAGTAAAATCATTATTTAGTGGGATGATTCACTTATTTCCTGTGAGCGCAAATAGATGCTGAGGGCTTGATGCTTTCCAGCTGTTGTAGGACTACAAATCACAGCAAACAGTGACAGTATGCAGAGATTGTGTCACTTTCCTGGCAGTAGCAGCTGAACCTGAGCGAATACAACTAATATATAAACTTTCTGGTGCTTTTTTTTTTAAAATCTTCATATTGTCAAATATCTGCAAGCGGGTGAAACATGATTTACGTTTATTGCGTACTTCTTTATGACAAATCTAAAAAACTCTTGGCTGAAATAGTCAAAACTGCCTATCTTGTGTGTTTGAGTTCTTGAAGCATCCACGTATTCTGTCTGGTAAATGTTCAAACTTTACAAGTTATGATAGATGAAATGGTTGTACAGTTGTGTTCATGGAATGGTACCAGATACTCTTCTACAGCTTTCAGCATTCATAGACAAAGCTGTGTATTTTCCATTTACATTCATTTATCAACAAGCAAAATGTGAAAAAATGTAGTTGCCTACATCTGATACTTGAAAGAAGAACTTCGGGCAAACAAAAAAACTTACCCTTGCAGTAGGGCTACCCCCGCAAAGCTGCAAAGGTTATGTAATCATTTTACTTACCTTAACCTCACCTTCCTTGGGCTGCTAGACCGGTCCCTTCAGCCTCTTCTCCTATGGACCACTGACGTCATCATGTCTCATGCAGATTAATGGACCTGCATAAAGGTGGCAATACACCTTACAACCATTGTACAACTTTTTTTGTCCAGACATCTCACCCTTGTTCAATTTTCGTTCAACTAACCCAGGGGTCGGCAACCTTGGCTCTCCAGCTGTGCTGAAACTACAAATCCCATAAGGCATTGCGAACCACAGGCATGACTCCCAGAGGCAGAAGCATGATGGAATTTGTAGATTCAGCACAGCTGGAGAGCCAAGGTTGCCTACCCCTGAACTAGCCCATCATGCACAGACAAATGTAGTTCGCAATTAACATTCATCAGCACCACTAACTGGCAGATTTTCATCAATCAAAAGAACAGATTTTCGTGTGAGCATGTGCAATTTTCATATTGAGATTTTTGTTGTACAACCACGCCAGTAATCCGTCATTTTTCGTCCAACTAGACAAAAGTTTTCTAGCCTGCTTGAAAGACAAAAATCTGCCAGTTGTACAGTAATTGAGCTTGTGCACTTCCCATCAACTGGCAGATTTTCGGGTGAAAACGCGTTCACAGACAAAAATCTCCAGATAATTGTAAGGTGTATGGGCACCTTTCGACATGAGGAGGCTAAAGGGACAGTCCATAGTCAGAGCATGGGGAGAGAGAGGTGAGTACTGACCACTGCAGGACCAAGGACTAAAATAGCCGCACACCGTGAATCGCAAAAAAAAGTCTCTCACCTGCTCGAGATGAGTAGCCTCAGGTAGTACACCAGCCTCCATTGAGAACACACATCTTGGACTTCACGATCCTCCCACAGACCGCTCCTCATCCGATCCTCGGACCCACACCAGTAAGTACACCTTTTCATTTGCCTTTTCTTTGGCAATATTCAGCCCAGCTAGACAATCCTCCTTATCCACTACCAGATAACCCTCCTTAGTTTTGCGCCCTCACTTTTGTCCTTTTTAAAAAAAAGTAACATGTAATCCATGGGGCCACGCGACAATCGCTGTCTGCAATTGTGCATGGCCGCTCAGGTCTGCACCGGGCCTGAAAGTGACACCAAACTCAGGAGTTAAATCTTAAAAATACTTTCAGGTACCTTAACTATTAACAGAAATGTATCTTAATTGTGTCTCAAGACAAAGTCACTGCGCTAAAAAACGTACAACTTATACATAAATATACAAAAACAATAAAGGGCCTAGCGATAGCCCCAACATAATATGCAACCTCCCCTATAGTTAAACTCAATACAATCTCAAAACTGCATGTGCAATGTATTGTGATCCAACAGCGTGGATTTTATACACAATTGTATCTTATTTGTGTATCATTCAGGCTAGGTTCACACCTAGCGATTGAGCATGTAAGCTGTTTTCGCACGGTTGTAGCGCGTTTTCGTTTGCACAACTGTACTTTGATAAACTGCATGGTTTTTAATGCATAGAGATGTCTATGCGACCCAAGTCACGCGACAACCACCTGAAAATACATCTCAGTGTGAACCTAGCCTGAATGAAACACAAATAAGATACAATTGTGTATAAAATCCACGCTTTTGGATCAGCTAGATCCTCAAATCATCTCTGAATTTGTGCTGACACTGTCCTTTCTTCTGGAGGGTGGCAACTTTTGTTCGCCATGGTCCTTGTGCGTGTAATAGGCAGAACTTTTATCTCAAGGCAGAACTTTTTGAAAAAAAGTTTGGATAGAGTAGGGGAAGGTTAAAAAACTGCTGTCAGATTTTTTTCCCATCTGTGTTTCAATATGGAGATTTCCCTATACTTCCCGTCCTGTAGACTCAACAGGCAATGAGAGGATATCTTTCCAATAGGAGGACGCTGTTCGACTATTCACTTCAGACTGGTATGTCTGATTTCAGCCGTATATCGGCTGAAATCAGCTGTACATCGTGTGGCTTCAGGTCGGCCCGAAGTGCAGAAGGAGTTCGACTCAGCCGATCCAACATCTGGATCGGCTAAGCCGAACCACCGGCAGGCTACCCGCTGCTGTTCGGGCTATTCTTAAAGATCCCGAACAGCAGTGAGTGAATAGCCGAATGCCGCTGAGCGGCATTCGGCTCGGCTGTTCTGCTCGGTCCCTCAGAGGTACCGAGCAGAACAGAAAAATAGTTTAAAAAGTAGACAAAAATAAATAGAAAACGATTGTGCGGAGCTAGCAGTGACAGCTAGCTCCGCCCAAATGTTTTGCATTGGCCGGCGGTTCTGCTGCCGTCAAAAAAAAAGAAAGAAAAAAAAACTCTCCCGGGCGCTCCGGGAGTCTTTACACGCTGCCCGGCTTCTCGGCTAATTAGGAAGCCAGGTGGTGAGTCATTACACGCCGCCTGGCTTCCTGAATGGGACTTCCGGTACTTGCTATTCGGTATCAGCGAGTACCAAAAAAAAAATATCGGTACTAGTACTCGATATCGAAATACCGGTATCGCTGCATCCCTAATCTATATATCTGTACAGAACAAGTCAGTTGCCTTGACTTATTCTTTACAGATATACTTGTTTAAATGTAAAGTTAGGGCATTGAAAAAAATATTTTTGTGATGGTTTTCCTCTAATGTTCATCACTGTGTGTTCCTTGAACCTCCATAAATGTTATACAGTTTTCCTACAGAAGAACTTGGTTGCTGGCTCATAATCCACCTCTAAACTGTTTACCATAATAGGTAGTTATCATAAAAAAAGTGGTTTGTGCGGTTATGCCAAAGACCACCTACACTACACTTATTTTCCCGCTAAAATGTACATTACCAACTCTCTCACTTATGTTTGCCTTGGCACTGTATCAAATGTAAGCCTTGTTACAGTAAAACCTGGACCCTGAATTCATATGTCAGAAAATGTATATGAATGCCAATCTGGTAAGAATTCAACAGTATTATATAACTGACTTATCTTCATACAGAAATACTGTCTGCCCATAGCAACCAACCAGATTCCATGTTTTCCAAGCACACAATAGAAATGCTTAATCCTGACATATAATAGTAAGTAAAATATATAAAGAGGAATTTATCGAAACAGGAGCAGACGAAAACTGGAGCAGCTGTGCATAGCAACCAATCAGCATCTCTCTTTCATTTTCAAATCTCAACTGAACAAACTCAACAGAGAAGCTGATTGGTTGCCATGCACAGCTGCTCCAGACTTTGTCTGCTCCAGTTTTGATAAATTCCCCTCACAGTCTTTCCCTTTGCTTTTTCTTATTTTGCAACCCACCAAATCATGTCCCAAAGTGTTACCTCACATTCTGTTGGAACCTTTCCGAATAAAGATCAAAAAGCACTGATACCTTTTCTAGGGAGGGTTAAACTCTGATCACCACACCACCTGCTAGTCCAAGCTTCTCACTGATGATCTACTTCTTATGTATGAGCCTCATCTCCAGGAAATGTTAGTATACATAAAATAAAGGACAAGCCATAGTGCTCTCCATTTAAATAATTAAAAAAAATCTTTATTTTTAATTGTTTTCACAAGGGGAGGTTGACAGTCTCCTTACTCCTTAGTATGGCTCTTTTATAAAAATAATAATTAAAAACAAATTCCTGTAAAAGAAGAGGAATTATACCTAGCTGTCCAGCCACCCATGGACTGGATCTTCTGGAACTGCACCGGCTGAAGAATTTTCAGCATCTAACACATTTCCGGGAGTGCTGGGTGCCTGGTCAGCCACTGTACACTCTTGTTCCATACACTGGCTGCTACTTCACTACAGGACACAATAGTGATGTAGCAGCCAGCAGATGGAACCACAGTGCACAGTGGGGGGCTAGGCACCCCACACTCCTGAAATATTCTTCAGCTGGTGTAGTTCTAGAAGACAGCGAAGGTACAGGGCATGGGTGGCAGGAGAGTCGCTTTAAGATATCCCAGATGCTGTTTGTTTCTAAATGTGCAGTAATGTTTAACATATTATTTATAAAAGTGGCTATGGCAAGAATTTTTGTCATAGCAGTCAGAATCAGATTTTCCTTGTTCATTCACTTTGAAAGCATAAAAGGGAGCGTCCGATTAGTCAGTATAATTAAAAAAATGTCTAACTTTAGAGTCTTTGATAGTTCTACTTCTGTATATGTTATAGATTACATGCACAGTTAGACATAGTATGCTTCTTGATAAATGGATGCTGAAA